GAAAAAGTTGAGAGGTTGACAAGGAAAAATATTTTACCCTCATTGAATTTTAATGATTTTGGTACTTGTGTGAATTATATTAAGGGAAAGTTTACCAAGACCAAAAGGAGAGGTACAATTAGAAGTGTAAATATCTTAGAAATATTAGTGACTCTCTAACTTGTACAAATTGTGGTAATAAGTATTTCATTACATTAATTGATGATTTTTTTTATATGGATATTTTTATTGAATTAAAGAAAATATATGAAGCACTTGAAAAAATTCAAAACTCTTAAAAAGTGAAGTGAAAAAAGTACTCAAAGATATGATGAAAAGCATGATAGTGGATGTAATTTGGTAGAATATTTGTGGGTGAAGTCTTGAAAATAACTCTTTACATTGTTAACAAAGTTCTTAGTAAATTTGTCGCTAAAACCTTTTTTGAACTTTTGATTGGAAGAAAACCTAGCTTGAACCATCTTTGTTTTTTCATTAGGTACCCAGATTAAGGTAAAGGATACGTGTTCTTCTGTTCTGTTAAGAAAAGGAAAGTAGTATAGTTCATTAAGGCTAAGTTTTTAGAGTTTGATGTGGCATATCTTAGTATGTCATTCAATAAGATTTATGTCTTACCGCATAAGATTGCAACTTTGTCTCACAACCTATTTAGCCAATTGCATAGATTCCGTTGAGAAGTTCATCTAGAGACAAATGACTTGTTATTGGTGATGACTTTATAGTTTATCTCAGTAAGGATGCATATGACATTGGAGACATTATTGATCCAAAGAACTTTCAAAAAGTTGTATAATGCTCACAATTTGAAATGTAGAAGCATGTGATCAATGAGGAAATGCAGTTCGTGTTAGTTAATGTTGTATGGAAGCTTGTTGAGTGCCTAAAAATTGAAGGCAATTGGTTGTAAATGGGTTTTTAAAACAAAGGGCTCAAAAGGTAATATTGTGAGATTTACTCAAAAGGTAATATTGTGAGATTTAAAGTCAGATAGTAACAAAGAGTTTCACATAGAAGAAAGACATTAATTTTAATGAGACTTTTTCACGTGTTTCAACAATGGATTCTTTTAAGATGATCATGACACTAGTTGCTCCCTTTGACTTAGAGTTATATCAAATAGATGTGAAGACTACTTTTCTGAACGGTGAGTTGAGTGAGATAGTATAGATGTAGCAACTCGAGAGTTTCTACGTTGATAGTAATAAGGATATGATTTGCAAAATAAGAGGATCAATTTATGGCTTGAAATATGCTTCTAAACAGTGGTACTTGAAATTTGATAAAGTGGTGACTTCTATAAGGTTGAGAAGAATAAAGTTGATTAGTGTATATATCTCAAGGATAGTTTTTGTATTGTATAAGGATGATATATTGTTAGCTTCTATTTACCTTGGCATATTACATGAAACAAATCATATGTTAACCAAATCTTTTGACATGAAGGATCTTGGTGAAGATTCCTTTGTGTTAGGGATTGAAATTCATAGAGATAGATCACATCCTTCGCTTGAGTTATCTCAAAAAGCTTATATTAATAGAGTTTTGGAGAGATTCAATATGAAGAATTGTAAACCCAAAGATGTTCTAGTTGTCAAAGGTAATAAGTTTAACAAAGATCAATATCCTAAGAATAAGATTAAGCAAGCAGAAATGAACAACAAACCTTTTGGAATTATTTTGGGGAGCCTCATGTATGCTCAAGTATGCACTATACATAACATTGCTTTCATAGTTGAAATTTTGGATAGATACTAGTCAAATCCTATGAATGATCATTGGATAACTGCTAAGAAAGCAATGAGGCATTTACAGAAGACCAAAGAGCACATGTTTGTGTATAGGAGAGTTGATAACTTGGATATTGTGGAGTACACTGATTTAAATATTGGTGGGTACCCTAATGATAGAAAATCGACTTCAAGATACATATTTATACTGGTTAGAGGTGTCATATCTTAGAAAAGGAAGAAATAAACTCTTGTTGTATCTTCTACTATACAAACATAGTTCATTACTTATTTTGCTATTACTACTCATGTTTGATTAAAGAAATCAGTGACAGGACTTCGTATTGGGGACTTCATTGCTTGGCTATTGAAGATTTTATGTGATAATAGTGTTGTAGTGTTTTATATAAGGAATAAAAAGATTTCTAATGGATCTAAGCATTTGAAATTAAAATATTTGACTATTAGAAATCTTGTGAATGACATATCTGAAACAGTATATCATATTGACATGTTGGTTGATCCCCTAACCAAGGGACTTTGGCTCATTGTCTTCAAAACACATATTGACATGTACTCTTTATTTTTAGCAATTGATAATACGTCCTTTCTCTCTCTCTCTCTCTCTCTCTCTCTCTCACACACACACACACACACACACACACATATATATATATATATATATTTGTATATCTATGCATATTTATTATCTCAGTTGTCAAATTTAAAACTCAGTGTTATTAGAGTCATTGCGCCTGTGACTAACACTATATTGGAGTTTAGACATAGTTGTAATTTTGAATTTAGTGTTGTAGGGATCACTATGTTAGTAGTCAATGCCATTTGGAATTGAGGTATCACAATAAAATTTTGAGTTCGGTGTTATTAAGACTGCTATGTCGGTGATCAATGCCATTTGGAGCTGAGACATGATGGTTTTTTAAAAGATCATGTAATTTCTTTAGCTTTAAGGCATTTGAGAGAAATTGTAAGAAGTGATAAAGAAAATGATGACTTGACTTTTGAATTATTTTGGGATGTCATTTCTTACTACACTCTACACTAATGACTAGTCGATAAATTTAGTAATATTTGTAATTATAGAAAGTCCTATATCAATAAAGGACATAATGTCTGCATGATTCAATATTATTTGACTTTGATTAAATAAAATTGTCTTCAAATATTGTATCATGGATCATGTGTTTTTTAAAATATGGCCACATTATAAAATTAGTAATTAGTTTGAAATTTTTTTTGAAAACTACTTTTATTATATTTTATTTTAATTAAAATTATGCAATTGATTTTGTCCAAGTGCAAGAACGTTAGAATTATCTAATAATTCTTTGTGGACTATATCAATTGTTATTTTATTTTTAATAAAAACAAGCTAATTGATGGTGCGGATGAGATGCATAAGTAAGTCTAATAATTAATTTAAGTAATCTATTTGTTTAAGTTTGGATATTTAGTGTGGATTAAAGTGTAGGTCTTAACCCAAAAATATGAAAGGAAACTATAATTAGTACTTTATATATTTGTCTATGCACAACCATATGATCACATGAGTTATTACACAACTTATAGGGATGAGAATGGGTCAGGCTGCCCATCCAGGGCCTATGGCCTAACCTATTTAAGACCTAACTTGACTTGACTTGTTTATTAAAAATGTTAAGCTTAGACTTTTGAAAAGACCTATTTAAATAAAGAGGTCAGACTTAAGCTTTAAAAAAGAACCTTTGAGACATATTGGGCTGACCTAATTAAATAATTATATTATTTTATAATTTTTATTTGTTTATAACAATTTAATATAAATATAATTGTAAAAAAATTATATATACATATATAATATGTAATGTATAACATAATTTAGTATTTATACTTTAATAATATAATAATTATAATTATATTATTAGAGTATCAATTAAAACTTTGTCTGATTTCTAAAATATCTCAATCCATTATTAGAATTTATTCTTTCTTAATTCCTATTCTAGTCTTTTTAATACAAATACTTTTCAACTTCTTAACCCTAGTATAATTTTTTAAAGTCATGATTGCATAAACCAAAAATAAAAGTTATTTTTGACAATTGTTTGTTGGGTTCTACGTTTTAGTCTCACTTTTGATTTTTCTTTTGTAATAAATATCATAATTATTATCTTTGTATTTGAGATTACATAATATAGACATATTACCTGTTATTATCTTTTAGATTATTTGACATATAAAATTTTGTAGAGTTATTAAATATGGTTATGTTGAGATACGATATATGTGAAGCCATTTATATATATATATTTGCTAAACATAATATTTAAATATAATTACTTATCATATATTTTCTATTTTATTAGTAATAGGCCTTTTTACTTGCTTAGGCTATTAGCTACTAGCTCATTAAATTTAAATATAGTATTATAGAAATGTCTTAATGTTAAATAGGCTATTAAATTAAGTTAGACTTCTAAAGAGGCTACACCAAAACTAAAAATTTGACTTATGTCAAATCACTCTAATTTTATGTAGTATGAAATACTCGTTTAGTCTTAAGCCTCATCACCCAGTCCATTCCCATTCTTAAATACTTACCACATAAAAAATTGTAACTTGGGATTGTAATTTATGTCATTTATTACACAATTCAAAGCTTCAATATCTTTATTCTGAGTCATGTCTTCAACTATTGAAATTAAAACTACATTATAATTATCTTTAGTATTTTAATTTTATAAAATCTCATTTAATAATTATTTACTTGCAGCTACTAATATTTTTCTTTTCACGTATCTATTGTTGTATAGATGATAAGATAATATCCGGATATCGTCGCTGAAATTTCATAAAATAAAATAAGCAAAAAAAGATGTTAGATAGTGTATGAGGTGATAGTTACCTGTCGTGCATAGAATAATAAATCTTGGGCGTCTGCGAAGTATTAAAAAGAATAAGTACATGAGGTGAGATCGTGACCATTATCTAAAGTTGACAAATATAAATAAATTATCATCTTGCTTTTTTTAGATTGAGTTAAGTTATTAATTAATTACTCAATTATTTTCCCCTCCATCACAATCACAGGAGCGGATCGGTGTTAGTGCAATGTATTGGCTTTTCTTCTATGACATGACACTTGCAAAACGACACCTGTGAAGTTGGCTATATTGAGAAAAGCAAAGCCTCCATTGTTCGGAAATCAAACCTGGCGACTCAAAATGAAAAATTAGCTAATGAACCTTACATGCCAACTTGCTCTTCTTCAACATGGAAACATTGCCGGAGGATTGTGTTTCAAAGATTCTCTCCTACACATCTCCACCAGACGCATGTAGATTCTCAATCGTCTCTTCAACCATGCGCTCAGCCGCTGACTCGGACCTTCTCTGGCGTACCTTCTTTCCCTCTGATTATCGCCACATTGTCTCAAGGGCCCTCAATCCCCTCACCCTCAATTCCTCTTCATACAAACACCTCTTCCACGCTCTTTCCTGTCCACTTCTCCTAGACAATGGCCACATCGTATGCTGCTATATTAAATTTTATATTTTCATTAAAATTATTATTTTTTATTTTTGTTCTGTCGAGTAATTTATGATTTGTTGTGTTGTGTTGTGTTCGTTTCATGCTTGGAGAGCTTCAAATTGGACAAGTCTTCGGGTAAAAAATCGTATATCCTATCTGCGAGGGCTCTGTCGATCACGTGGAGCGATGAGCCGTTGTATTGGACCTGGAAATCAATGCCTGAATCAAGGTAAACTCGCTTGACTTCTAGTGTCGACCATATCAACGGTGAATTTTTTTAACAAGTTGAGTAATTTGAAGAGAATGATTTTGCAGGTTCACAGAGGTGGCTGAGCTGAGGACATTGAATTGGTTAGAAATAAAAGGGAAAATTGGGAGCGGGATTCTAACGCCAAACACGTCCTACGGAGTTTATCTGATAATGAAAATTTCGCACCGCGAGTATGGGCTTGATTGTGCGGCGTGGGAGTTGTCAGTTGCAGTGGGGAACAAAGCGGAAAGTGGAAGGGCATATTTGTGGCAGAAAGAGGAGAAGAAGAATGAGAAGGATGAGGGAATTGGAATTGCATCAAAAAGAGATGATGGGTGGATGGAAATTGAGGTTGGTGAGTTCTTCAATGGCGAAGCTGAGGAAGAAGTTAAGATGAGTGTGATGGAGGTGAGTTATCACCTGAAGGCAGGACTCATCGTCGAAGGCTTTGAAGTAAGACCCCTACCAGTTTGACTAAGGAAATGTTTGGCATTGAAAAATACGTTTTAAAAATCTCTAAATATCATATTCAAATGAAGGTAGATTTGTGCTCTTTTAAACATGAATCATCCTATGTTTTTTAAAGTTTTCATTTTTAGCGTTAAATATTATTTAACGTGATTTTAGAATATTTTCAAACAACTTTCAAAGTAAGTAATCAAAAAGTTATCTTCTGTGTAAGTTGTATGTATAAATATCTTTTCTTTTCTCCCTAATTTTTTTTTATTTCTTCAAATAATTTGTTAATCCTCAGTGATATAAATTAACACGATATATCAAATTCATTTTGTATATTAGGGCTGTTTCAGTCTCAAAATACGTAAAATTCTTAATTTAGGTCTTAAAAAGTTTTTTTATTTATTTGTTTATAAACATTAACTCAAATGAGTAGTAAATTTTTCAAAAAACAAATCTTAAAAAATCCTGAAAACAAATATATAAGAAGAAAAGAATATGACAACTTCATAAACTTCATAAATATTTTTATTATTTTTAAAAGTATATATTATTTATGAAATGATATTAAATAATTCCAATAATTAATGTTTAAATGAAATATATTAGAAAAACTAAATTAATAAAATCCTACATAAAATCAACGAAATATTAACAAATTAAAATGAATTGCTTTATTAATGATTAAAAAATAATTATATGATTTAATAAAATAATGTTTATCTCAAAAATGTGAAAAATACATTAAAAATAATAATTATTAAATTATTTTTATTAATTTAAATATTTTTTTGGTTAAAGAATTATGTCTTATTTAAAACTCACTTTGAACCTTGGACTGGGCTATCTTGATTTCATCAAACTGATATTATATAAAAAAAATATTTTAAATACGGGTTAATTTTGGTAAACAGTAATTTACATTTTACTCATTTGTTTTCATTAGTTACTTATTACCCATCAATAAAGATTGGATTGCGCCAATCAAACTCTCCTTTAATTTTTAACATTAAAGCCATTTTTAAAAGCATATTAAGAATCCAGTTATTTTATAATTGGATAAAAATGAAATTGATAAAATTGATTTTAAATAATATAATTGAAACGTGTGACTAAATTAATTGGAATTACAATTTTTATATTAAAATATGTATCATAATATTGGAAATTAATTTTAAATGATAACCAAACAAAATTTTTAAATGAAACACATTTAAAACAAAAAATGAAACACATATTTGATTATTTTTAAATAAAAATAAAAAACAAGTCATTAGATTATTAATGTGGGTGTTTAGACTAACTGAAAAAAATATTTTAACAATTAATTATATCTATAACAGAATATACAAAATAATTTTATGTTTAAAAATGTTAGATGAGAAGTAACTTTAAAATAAAATATTATATTTATTTTATATAAAAACTCATTTTAGAAAAAATTACAAAAAAAATAATGTATGATAATTAGTTTTATATTTAAAAATTAATTATTAAAATAAAATAATTAACTATAAAAATATTTTTAATTATAAATGCTAAAAAAATTTATTTAACTAAAATATTTATAATAATTAATTAAAAATTATAATTTAATATTTTATAATCATCAAATAAATTTGAATGATAATTCTTATATGTCATTTCAAATAATTAACTAAAATAATATATCCCAATTCCAAACTTTAAAGTGTTAAATAATAATAAGGAAACAAATGTATGGTCTTTATGTGATAAGGATCCCTTGTAAAAAATAATTAAATTAATAAATATAAATATTTTAATACAATGGTAGAATTATGGCTTTTTTTTATATATATATGGGATTATATATTTATAATTATCAACATTTTAAAATAAAATACAGGAATATGGAAACTATATAAAATCACCGATGACATTTTTTTTTAATGTTAGTTAGTAGGGTAGTTAAATAGAAAAAATCGTGAATAATGACAAATGGTTGCGATATAGATTGTATTATAAAAAAATTTCTATTGATACTTTTTGAATTTTAAGTTATATTGAATTGTTGTTATCCAGATTGTATTATAAAAATTATATTTGATATATAAACAATATCAAATGTTATATTATAATAAATTTAACAAGATATTATGGGATATCTCATGGATTTTTATCTATAATATTTCTAAGACGTGTAAATGGAGTGTTATATAAATATTGTAGGTGTTTGCATATGAAACAATTGAAAATATTTGTTTACCGAGAATTAGAGTCAACCAATCTTATCAAAGCAGCCTAATTCACCTCGTTTTTAAAAGTGAACTAGATTTTTTAGTCTGACTCATAAATGTGTGCCAACAAACTAGTCTGTTCTGTTTTGCCATTAACCCACATTTGACGAGTTAAAATGGAATATGTTAGACACACTATTAAGTGCAAAACCTCTGGTCGATCTACCATTTTAAGGGATTCGGATCCTCTACACTTTTTGAGGGAACTGCAGCCTGCAGTTTAATTTAGTAAAAATATAATTTTTATTTAAGTTAAAAAATTTGTTTAAGCCAAAATTATGAAAAAGTTTAAAACTTCATCTTCTTCCTCTTTAAACTATAGAAAAAATATTTGTATAAGATCATGTAGTCACGCTTTATAGTTATAATACAAAAGCTTAAGTGTTTTAAAACATATAATAATACAACTATTTTTCAACTAATTTCGCAAAGTTATCATTTCTATAATTCTTATCATCATTCTCAACAATTTAACTTAATTCTAAATAGTTCTACCTCACTAATGTTTAACACAAGTAGCACACTAGACAATACATTTGAAATATTTGGTGGAATAAAATATGTAAGAGTATTTGGTAACTAGGTAGTCATTGGTGAGAAACAAAAGTTCATCAAAATTTCTGCAGTTTAGAGAGAAAGAAGATGTTTTAAAATTTTTCGCAATATTGCCTTTAGCAAAAATCATTTTTTTGTTAAATTTTCTTAAGAGAATTTTTTTGGATGAAGCCAAAATTACTTTTGCTAAATTCGCTTAAGCAAATTTTGTTTCGCTTAAGAGAATTTAAACTACATGCTGGAGTTCCCTCAAAAACTGCAGAAGATCCATATCCCATTATAAGTGAGTTATGCAAGTCAACCCATCGAGCTTAACCCAAATTGATATGTTTAAAACCAACCACAATGACTGAAATCACATCACAATTTAGCCCCTTGTAAAGAGAAGCAAGACATGTTGAATGTCATATATAAAGTCTAATTTCATTTACATTTGTCAACAAATACAATAATTTTTCATATACTATTGAATTGTTCTTATTCGGCATTATATTATGTTCCAACAAAAAAATACATATCCACGAATTACTGTATTATTCTAATGTTGAAATTAGTAAGAAGTCGACTGAAATAATGTGTTAATTACTTTAATTTTATTTTTGACCCTACAATATTATTTGATCCTAGTTAGTAGCCTAATAACTCTTTACTTATATTGTAGAGTACTACAATCCAAGCAATATAACAACATCTTTTAGTATGATTATGCATTTTTCAGGAGAATGATGAAATATGTCGTTTAACTTATATTATTTAATAAGTGCATTAATAAGGGGTTTGTTTATTTAAATCTGGCATATCTGAGTAATATGATTAAGTCAATATACTATAAAACGTCATATAATTTAGTTATAGGTGACATAATTGATTAATAATCAAGTTGTAATTGTCTTATTACCTATTACTAGTAATAAACAAAAAAAATAATTAATCGCTAAAAATTTAAGGCAAATACTAATAAATATTTAAAAATACAAATTAAGAATTAAAAAATATTTTAAATTTATATTATAAAAATACTTAATGACAAAAAAAACGTTTATAATATTTTTTAAAATACTCCATTACAACAGCTATATACCAATTTCAAATAAATTTGAGATAATAATTATGTAAAATTTACAATTAATATTTTATATTTAATATTTAATTATTACAACATATCATTTTTATCTTTTTTACGTACCTAAAAGAAACTTATAATTTTTTATTAATTTGTTTTTAATATATTTTATAATATTAAAAATAGATATTTAAGACAAATAATAATACATATTTTAAGAATACTAATTAAAAAATAAAAAAAATTCTTTTAGTTATTTAATATTATAAAATTACATAATAACAGAGAAAAACTCTTAGCAATAATTGTTTTAACATATATACTCCATTATAATTACTATATATCTAATTTACCAAATTTAAGTATTAATAGTTTATTAATATAAAATTTAACATATTAAAAATTATTTTTTATGATAAATTTAGTATCAATAATAACATCAAAACTATTATATAAAAAAATAATAATTCTTTTATAGTTAGAATAACTTACACTGTAATTATGAATTTATTTTGAAATATTTCTATGTGAATTCATGATTGAATCACGAGGATTATTAATTCAAATATAAAATTTAAGGGTTATAATAACATTAATATGACATTTTTTGTAATTTGACATGAATATGAGCTTTGAAAAATTGTTAGTAGTAAGTTCTAGGGTTCTGCTATCTTTAATCTTACAATTTGTTATGAACAATGAAGTTTTTACATAAATATAGGCTTTTGAAAAATTATCAGTGGCAAGTTTTAGAGGTTTGTCATCTTTCAGTACTGTAATTTGGAATGGTGAACAACATATTTATAGAATAAAATATTGTTAATGGTAATTTTTGGAGAAATCTTTGCCATTATCAGTTACAATTGAACGAGGAAGGAGCTTTAGTAGCGAGAAAAAGTCGTTGGTAGTGATTTTTGGAGCTATATAATGATCTTTTCAGCAACAAACTCATGCTTAGAGAGAAAGTTGAAGAGAGAAACCACATGGATGAGTGAATTTGAGAAGAAGAGTGAAAAAAAAAGAAAAAGAAAGTGAAAAAAAAAAATCATAAAACTATTTAGTTTAAATTTTTTAAAATATTATGATTAACATATTTTTTCAATATGACTCGTGATACAACTATAGATTCGCAAAAGTACATT